AGTTATAATAGAAGAACTCAATACCCCATTGTCACAAATAGACAGATCATCGAAGCAAAAAAATCAACAAAGAAATATAAGAGTTGAATCAATCCTTCAACCAAATGGAACTGATAGATATCTGCAGAGCATTCCACCCAACAACCACAGAATACACATTCTTCTCAGCACCACATGGGACTTTCTCCAGAACAGACCACATGCCATTAAAGCATAAGTAAATGTAAAAGAATTCAATTTATACCATGCATATTATCAGATCATACTGCAATAAAACCTAAAATCAATGACAAAGGAAACCACAGAAATTATGCAAATTCATGGAGATTAATTAATATTCCCTTAAATAATCAATGAGTCACAGAAGAAATTAGTTCATAGAATCAAACAATAATGCCAGTACACATACAAGAACCAATGGGACACAATAGCTGTGAATGCCCACATCAGAAAAACAGAGCAAGTTCAAATAAATGACCTAATGATACACTTCAGGGTCCTAGAAAAACAAGATCAATACAAATCCAAAGCTAGTACAAGGAAGGACATTATAAAGATAAGAGTAGAAATTAATGAAATTGAGACTTTAAATTATACAAAGAGGCCGGGGATTCAACTCAGTGGTTCCACCACCTGCCTCACAAGCGTAAGGTTCCTAGTTTGATCGCCAGTACCAAAACAAAACAAAAACAAAAACAAAGAATTAATGAATTGAAGAGCTGGTTCTTTGAGAGAATAAACAAAATAGACAACTCCCACCCAATTTTACCCCCCAAAATGAAAGAAAAGACCCAAATAAATGCAATTAGAAAGGAAAAAGGAAAAAAATCGCAACAGACTCTGCTGAAACGCAGATTATTAACAACTACTTCAAGAACCCAAAAAGATATAAAAATCCTGAATAATCCACATCAGGCAATAAAATTTAAGGTTTTAGTTTTGTTTTTTGCAGTACTGGGAATCAAATTCAGGATCTTGCGCTTGTGAGTCAGGCACGGTGCCATTGAGCTAAATCCCCAGCCCCTAAACTTAAGTAATTTTAAAAAGACTACCATCTAATAAAAGCTCAGGTCCTGATGGATTCACTGCTGAATTCTACAAGAATTTTAGGGAAGATCTTATACCAATACTTCTCATAATCTTCAATGAAATTGAAAAGGAAAGAATACTCTCAAAGTCATTCCTGAAAACCAGCATTACCTTTCTTCCAAAAACAGACAAAGATCCAACAAAAAAAAGAGAACTACAGGCTAATCTCTTTAATAAACATAGAAACTAAAATCCTCAGACAAGATATTGGCAGACAGAATGCAACAAATTATCAAAAAGATCGTACATCATGATCAAGTAGGATTCATCCCAGGGATGCAAGAATGTTTCAACATATTCAAATAAATGAATGTCATACACTACATAAACAAAAGGAAGGAAAAAAATCATGTGATTGTCTCAATTGAGGCAGAAAAAGCCTTTGACAAAATCCAACATCCATTTATGATAAAAAACCATGAAGAAAATAGGTATAGTAGGATCTTATCTCAACCTGTAAAAGCCATTTATGTCAAACCAATGGTCAACATCATATTAAATGGAAAGAAGCTGACAGCTTTCTCTCTGAAATCAGGTACAAGATAGGAATGTCTGCTATCATCACTCTTGTTCAATATAGTTCTTGAAACATTAGTCAAAGCAATCAGGCAAGAGAAAGAATAAAAGGGGTTATCTGCAGGAACGGAAGAAGCCAAATTATTATTATTTGCAGATGACATGATTCTCAACATAGAAGACCCAAAAAATTACACCAAAAGACTCCTAGAACTAATAACCAAATTTAGTAGTGTAGCAATATACAAAGTCAACACACAAAAATCAATAGCATTCCACTGAGAAAAAAATTTTAAAAACAATACCTTTTACAATAGCATCAAGAAAAATTAAATACTCAGGAATTAACCTAACCAAGGAACTGAAAAACTTCTACAATGGAAATTATAGTACTCTTAAAAAGGAGATCCAAGAGGACATCAGAAAATGGCAAGATATCCCTTGTTCCTGGACAGGTAGAACCAATATGGTGAAAATGGCCATACTTCTCAAACTTCCTAGAACTGATTTATAAATTTAATGCAATCCTGGGCCGGGGATTTAGCTCAGTGGTTTCGCTGCCTGCTGCGTAAGCGCAAGGACCCGAGTTTGATCCCTGGTACAAAAAAAAAAAAAAAAAAAATTTAAAGCAATCCCAACCAAAATGCAAATAACATCTGTTATGGCTTGTGTTTAGATGTTCCCGCAAAGCCTCGTGCTTTTTCTAGGAGGCTGACTCTAGAGCATGTGATTGATTCATGTTGGGGCTAGGCCCCAGGGTACTGGGATTAAGGGCATGAGTGCTACCTGCCCTAAGTAGTCTGAATAAAATAAAAGGGGCAGAAAGACACTGTTAAGGTCCTTTTGTTGCTTTTGCTACCATGTGGGTGCCATGAACTGTTTCTTTTCTGTAATGCCCCTCTGCCATATGTCACCCTGCCTTGGAGCCAGCAAATTATGGGCTGAAACCTCTACAACTGTAAGTAAACTGTAAATAAACCCTTTCCCCTTTAACTTTGGGTATGGGGATTTTGTCTCAGCAACAAGAGAAAAGTAACTAAGCCAGCATCCCTTACAGAACTAGAGAAAACAGTTCTAACATTCATACGGAACCAGAAATGACCTAAAATAGCAAAAGCATTTCTGGGCAACAAGAGCAAGGCAGGAGGCATAACAATCTAGGACCGAAAGTCATACTATAAAGCTACAATTATAAAAATAGCATGGTATTGTGAAAAACAGACATGAATCAATGGAACAAAATAAAGGATGCAGAAACAACTCCAGGCACATTCAGCTACCTGATCTTTGACAAGGAGGCCAAAAACTCATGCAGAAGGATGGCAGCTTCTTTAACAAATGGTGCTGGGAAAACTGTCTATCCATGTGCAGAAGATTGATCCTAGACCCAAATCTCTCACCATGCACTACATTAAAATAAAAATGGATCAAAGATCTAAATATTAAAACAGAAACATTTAACCTGCTGGAAGATAAAATTGGTAAAACTCTTGAAGACATGGGCATAGGCAAGGACTTTCTGAACAGAACCCCAGTTACACAAGAAACAATACCAAGAATCAACAAATGGGATCTCATCATATGAAAACCTTCTGCACAGCATAGGAAACAATCAACAGAATGAAGAGACAACTTACAGAATGAGAGAATTTTTTGCCAGCTATTCATCAGAAAGCTAATATCTAGAATACATAAAGAACTAAAAAAAATTAAACACCCCAAACAAAAGACCCAATCAAAAATGGGCAACTGAAATGAATAGCACTTCTCAGAAGAAAAGTACAGATAACTAATAAATATATGAAAAAAGGGTTCTACATCTCTATGCATTAGAGAAATGTAAATTAAAACAACACTGAGATACTATCTTACTCCAGAAAGAATGGCTATCATCAAGAAATCAAATAATAACAAATCCTGGCAAGGCTTCTGGGAAAAAAGGAATCTCCTACATTGCTGGTGGGAATGTAAAATAGTACAAACACTGTGGAAATCAGTATGGAGATTCCTCAAAAAAGAAAAACTAGAAATTCTATTTGACCTAGGTATTCCTCTTCTAGGTATTTTGGCAAAAGAGTTATAGGCATCATATTACAGTGACATATGTATTCTCATGTTTATAGCAGCATAATTCACAATAGCTAAATCTTGAAAGTGGCCTATATGCCCATCGATGGATATAGTGGTCTATATGTTCATCAATGGATAAAGAAAATGTGGCATTTATACACTTGATACCACTCTGCAATAAAAAAGGATAAACTTGAGTCATTTGCAGGAAAATGGATGCATCTTGAGACTATGATGTTAAATGAAGTAAAGCAGATATACAAGCTTAAATATTGTGTGGTTTCTCTTATATGAGCAATCCAAATATATAAAGCAAAATAGGAGGAGAAAAAAAGAGTTTGCTAGAGGAGTTCTTGCTTTATTAAAACACTATAAGGGCTGGGGATTTAGCTCTGTGGTGCCTCTCTTGAGCACAAGGTTCTGAGTTCTATCCCTGGTACTGGGAAAGTAAACAAACAAACAAAAAATTGTGATTTTACTTCTGCATTTGTGATATTTGTAGTGTTTGAAAACTTTTTAAAAGTGTATAAGTTTTATATTTCACAACCAGGGTTCTTTCTCTTCAGGATAATATAACTTTGTATTTTTGTCAAATAAATAAACCTTTGGATGTGAAGAAAGAAGACAGATCAAGAGATGGAAGGAGTAGGGAGAGACTGGAGGGGAAGGGGATGAAAAAAGGAATTAAGGGGGCCAGGGATTTAGCTCAGTGGTTCCAGGCGCCTGCCTCCCAAGCGCAAGGTCCCGAGTTCGATCCCTGGTACAAAAAAAAAAAAAGGAATTAAGATGTATTATGTACATGTGCCAACTCCCCACAGGGAATGTAAACATTGTGTATTGAAAAAGTATACTAATAAATAAATAAATACAAATAAACGCAAACTGCTTTCTTACCAAAAACTTTTGAGAGAAAATCAAAATGCTACTACACAGTAACAAAATATGAGATAATTATTTGGTATAACACTTAATTTATTTGTATTTAGGTTCACCTCAAATGCCACATGAATCCTCAATGAGTCTGTTCTAAAATTGTATCTTTATATCTAACTATGTATGTCCACTAAAATGTGTCGTTCACCCTATTTTCAGGTTCACCGTGGAAAATAACCCTCCTTAAAATTCTGCCAATGTTGTGTCAAAGATCTTAATATATAACACATGAAACATTCTGAACACTGTCCATCTTAAGAGGAATACAAAAGTACTGCTTTCTTCTCGTTGGAATCTCTAAGGCCTTAAGTGGGAAAGCAAAGGTCAAGAAACACTACGTATCCCAGCATACCTTGCGACGACCAGGGACCACAATTCCCAGAATGCATTGCCCACCTTGTTGCTGGGACTTGTAGTTCTCCCATGTTGCACCAATTCCAACCGGGAAGGCGGTGGTTTCGTGCTCAGCCCAGGGATATTAGGCGTAGCTTTCCACCTTTGGCAAAAGCGGAAACACTTCAGACCCCCGGGTGGGTTGGATTCTTTGTCTCATCTATCGATTTTACAAAAGGTAAGTCAAAAGCGGCTTCAGGGCCCAACCCCATATTTCGAAGAGTGACCTCGGTGTGGCGAAGCCATTTGTCCCTAAATCCTCTCCGTAGCTGCCGCCGCCCATCCCTCTTTGTGTGCCTCGGAAGCCGCTGAGGGGGTGGTGGCGACAGTTGACTTTGGTGCTTAAAGTAGGGACGTTATTGGGAGGTTGCAGGTGGGAGGACGCTTCCCCATCCCGCCACCGGACAGGTGAGTTGAGGAGGGCCTTCCCTCGAGGCACTCCAGCCTGCTGGGTCCCACGTCGAAACTGGGAGGGCGGCTTGGCAGTTCCTGCTGACAGCGCCTGCCAGCCGGCTCCCCAAAGAAAAGGCGAAGGGAGCCGAAGCGGTGACTCAGTGCGGCCTGGGGCGCGGAGTCCACTCCCTTCTCTTCCTGAACCGCGTGGGGAGCCCTAAGGCTTGTCCGGCGCTCCTGGTCCCTTTCCCCGGACACCCTAGCCTGGACCGCGCCCGCTTGGCCGGAAGCCCGCGAAAGAAAGTTCCTGCTTTTTTCCTTGCACCATTTTACGAATGAAAGACCTTACTGCTTGGGTTCATAGCGTCTCCGCTTACCTTGTGTGTGTTGGACAGTCGCCGATGTGGAAGGGTTGTAGCATGGAATTCTAGAGACTCTTTTCCCTGAAATTTTAAGTCCTGGAGCAAAGGCTCTGGCCTGAGGATGAGAGGGCCGGTCAGCTATGGCTCAGCCCGACAAACTTAACTGTTGGTGTTTGACTAAAAATGTTGCTACTTTAACCTAGATATAAATTGGTATTGGTGTATCTGCGTTACAGTTGACCCTGAACAAAAATACCGTGCCTACCCTGTCATGAAGTTAGGGGTGGAAGATCTCTTCAGCAGCCGTTAGTGTGAAGCTTTTTACAGGTGTAAAGAGGGCTGAATAAGAAACGCTCCTTGTTTTCTTTCAGTTTGTTCAAATGACTCTTAGTACTGTATATTTAAGGGTCAGCCACGCCAACTTTTCCCCGTTTTTGTATTCTTGAAAATTTAACTCACGTTAGACTTAATGGAACATTGCAACTGAAATTTTCTTTATGCATTTATTAATAGATGGATTTTACCTCTTAACTAAGCTAACTTTATTCACATTTAATAATTGTGCTTTTAAAGAGATTTCCTCATAAACAGAGTTTTTCAGAAGTTATTCTCCCAGTTTTCCTGACCGTTTAATACTTAAGTTGTACAGATGTCGACAGATTGATCATTACATATTAAATCAACAGTCTATGGCCTGGATGTTTCGGAGGCTGAGGATGGACAGTTGCAGCTTAGTCTGGACAACTTAGCGACCTAGCCAAACCCTGAATTTAAAAAGGGGGTGAGGTGGAGATGTCGCTTAGTGGGAAGGCCATGGGATTCAATCCTCAGTCCCCCAAAAGATGATGATCATGATAATGATACAAAATACATAGAGAGTAACAAGTTCCTGGCTCCTAGTTTATGCTCAGCCCGTAGATTACTTTTTCAATTAAAAAAAATTCATTACTGCTTCCTAAAACTGAAGATGAAGCACTATGGTTCATATAGTGATTGTTTTTTAAAGCTCTGTAATTCTACCTTGCCCATTAATCATGTAGTCAGTGTCAATATAATGTTAAGATCACTGTGCTGGGATGCTGTAGAGATAACAAAAATGACTAAAACACAGTCTGATTTTGAATAGATTATATCTAATATGGAACCTTTCGAGATTCTTCACAAAAATTGTACTAAAAGTGCCTTAAGAGGTGTAGGTGAGGTGTTACTGCAGATTAATAGAAGGTCATTTGATTTGATTGTTAATGATGGTAGCTATATTTTGCTTATCTTTACCATTACTAATTCCATGGCACTTTTAGAATTTACAGGAATTTTCTGTTTGACCTCCTATTGTTTTTCTAAAGTTTCTAGGAATGAGTGCAAAACTGTTAATAGTTTTGTTTGGTGTTGTATAGCTTCTTAATGCCAGCTGGTATCCTCTGTTTTAAGTGCTAGCTTTGACCTCTCGCTCTCATTGTGTTAAATTTGGGCATGTGAACATTAAAGCACTTACCATGTGTTAGCTCCTGTGCTCAGCACTGGGAAATAGTTTTTACATCCAGTTTGTTCATACAGTAATTTTTCTCATCTTAGTAGTATGTACATGTTTTCATTATTATTTTTAAAATTTATTTTTTGAGACAAAGTCTCACTAAGTTGCCCAGGAGAGACCCAAACTTTTGACCTTCCTTGCCACAGCTTTCCAAGTAGCTAGGCTTACAGGCATGAGCCACCACACCTGGCTTGTTTCCATTATTTAAAAGTAGAATTATATATAGTACTATCTTTAGGTAGCATCAAAATACATGACTTTTTGGGACTGTTCTTTTTTTTTTTTTTTTAGAGACAAGTTCTCACTGTGTAGTCCAGGCTAGCCTCAAACTCTCGGTGATCCTCCTGCCTCAGCCTCCCAAGTGCTGGGATTACAGGCATGAGCCACCATACCCAACGGGACTGTTCTCTTCTTCACACACTAATTTTTTAAAAAATGTGCTACTTGTACCAATGTAATGATAATTGTAAATGATTGTATGCTTCTTAGGGTCACAAACATGTCAGACAAAAGTGAATTAAAGGCTGAGTTGGAGCGGAAGAAGCAGCGATTGGCCCAAATCAGAGAGGAAAAGAAGAGAAAAGAAGAAGAAAGGAAGAAAAAAGAAGTATGTTTCATTATTTAAAAATAAATTCAATATGAAATAATTGGTTTATTTCAAGTACTTATGCTTTTATGTAATAATTTTTAAATAGTTAAAATCTAAAATCTATTAGTTATGACTGCAAATACAGCACTATAAGTGAATCTTACTTTATAGAAGCCAGATATAGAAAAATAGCAAAACTGGAATGTGATTTTTTTTTTTAACTGAATAAAAGTATTTCATTTAGGATAAAACTTTTCAAAGATTTCATTTGTGAATGTTCAATTTACATATGTGATCCTCTAGGAATATATTAAAATAAGTATGTGCATTGTAAAAGCTCATAAGATAGGGCATATATCATAACTTAGTTTAGACTTTGAACTATTTGAATATTTTGCTAGTCTGATCTAATAATTTTGTCAGAATGTGTAGTACTAATCACAAACAGAAATATATATAATAGAAAATTTAATTGATTAGATTTATACTTCTGTCTTTTATCATGAGTTAGTCATTGAAATATATTTACTGAGCTGTAGATTTGATAGTACTATAAAGGTGAACCAGGTTTTTTGGGGTTTTTTTCTTGGTAGCAGGGATCAAACTCAAGACTTTGCACTTGCCAGGCAGGCGCAGCACTACTGAGCTAAATCTCCAGCCCTAACCAGGTATTTTTGATACTGACTTTTGGTAAAACATTTCATCATATAAAACAAATATACATTGGCCCTGGCTTGGAGATATTTTACTTATTCCTGCATTGAAACATATTTATCCCTATGGAATATCTTTTTTGTTGTTGTTGTTGTTTGTTTTTTTGAGACAGGGTCTCATTGTGTAGTCCAGGCTGGTCTTGAACTCACTATGTAACCCAGGCTGGCCTCAAACTCATGGCAATCCTCCTGCCTCAGCCTCCAAAGTGCTAGGATTACAAGCATGCACCACCACACCTGGCCCTTATGGAAAATCTTAAAGAAGATTATGAATACTTTTACCACACTTATGTATTAAATGGACAGTATTAGGTAGTTTGTCCTAACTGTGCCTTTGGTGCCAAGTTTCATATGTGATAGCATAAATAATAGTTAGGACTACTGGAAATCTAGGGACTAAGAGAAAAATCTGTAGCAGAAAAATCAAGGAACAATTTATGTACAACATTGCTATGATGATATGAGGTCTATAATGGAAGAATTTGCTAGTTTATTCTGAACCTTTCTGTGATAAGAAGAGTAGAGCTTTACATTAGGTATTTGATCAAAAGCTAACTGGGGCCAGGGATTTAGCTCATTGGTGCTGACACCTGCCTTGAAAGCACAAAGTCCTGAGTTTGATCCCTGGTACCAAAAAAAAAAAAAAAAAAGCTAACTGATAGAAGCATGTTTCAGACTGGCTGAGCCTTCCTAAATAGTATCCATAGCCTTAGACATTTCAATGCTGAGAGCAAATTTGATTTTTGTTTTCTAGTAATAAGTTATCTTTAAGGGATATCTATTTCAGTATCACTATCCAATTTAAAGTTTATAAAATATTACAAGAGATAATTCAATAGTAATAAGCAATGGGTCTACTATATTAAATATAGCAAAGCATCAGCTTGGTAACATAGCCCATTTTGCTATTCTGATTAATAGTAATATCATAGAATATTATGATTAACCAAATTCACTCAATATGTAATAGTTATCTAGTTTATATCATTTGAAGTACATATATAAAACTTTTCCCTTGAAAGCTTAGATTTTATTTGAGATGTTTTAGATGATCTGAGAACATTGAGGTTTACCTAGTTGTTTAACTAGAAGATTTTGCCAAAACTCTACATGACTGAAATAAAAGTTGCTAATATTTTCATAACAAAAAAATGTTTTGTGCTCTGCAAAGGTGAATTTTAATTTTAAAAAACTCAAAACTCAACTGTGTATTTGTATTATTAAAATAATACCTGAAAGCTAGGCACAGTAGCATCCACATGTAGTCCTGGCCACTTGGGAGAGGAAGGCAGCACGATCACTTGAGCCCAGGAGTTTGACACTAGCCTGGGTAACACAGTGAGACTGTCTCTTTCTCCACCTCTGGCTGGGCTACATCCCCAGCTCTTCTTTTATTTTTTATTTTGAAACAAGATGTTGCTGAGTTGCCCAGGCTTGACTCAAACTTGTGATCCTCCTGCCTCAGCCTCTCAGAGTACTGGGATTGAAGGCATGTACCACCACACCCAGTTACCCTGTTTCTTAAATTTAAAAATAAATAAGACCTGCCGTTTAAAAATAAAATCTTTCTTTAGGTGAATTTTTGATAAATGTTCTCTACCTACAGTTGCATAAATACAGTGAAGATTTTATACAGAAGTTTGAGGTATTAAAGCTTTTCAACAAATCAAATTGTCCATTTACTGAAAATTTGCTAGTTCTTAAATAACTCCACTTTTTTTTCATAGTGTTATGACATTTATTTGTAAACTTTTGGGCCACTTGGAAAGGGGGGTGGTTTCCCCCATTCCTGTCTATGGTTATCAGTTTTATACTATGAGCAGTGGGGGTGAACCCATGGCATATGTGCCACAGCAGGCTGTTTGTATCATTGAAAGCTCTAAAAAGTTTGCCATCACTGCTATAGAAAATTCAAATCTGACTGCAATTTTGAATTTATCTGTTAGGAAAATTTTTGTGGAAATTCTTTGATTTATATAAACATGGATCAACTTAGTACTTATCATTTGGAGATTACTATTAACTATTAGATAACACTCTTAGGAATGACTATAAAAATTATATTTTACTCAAAACTAATTTCACTCAAAATATACAGTGTTGGCACTTTATATTTTAGCAAATAGAAATGTTTTATGCCGTATGTAAACTTGAGTTTTAACTTAAAAACTTTAGACCGATCAGAAGAAGGAAGCTGTTGCTCCTGTGCAAGAAGAGTCAGATCTTGAAAAAAAAAGAAGAGAAGCTGAAGCATTGCTTCAAAGCATGGGGCTAACCCCAGAATCCCCTATTGGTAAGGATAAGAATATATCCATTTATGAGAGAGAGGCATGTTTCTGTTGAGCTCAGCCATGGCTGAGATGAGGAGTTGACTTGACAAATTTTGCATATTTTTGTTATTTGTGCCTTAAAATCACTAATCTTATCATTTATTTGGAATTGTACGTGGTTATTTTACTTGTTCAAACGATCTGTAAGATTATTTATATTTATTAACATATGGAACCACTAATTGACTTTTCTTACTAAATCAGATTTTTTAAAAACCAGAGATTTATTGAGCAAGTTTTATGTGCCATATTGTGTTAAGCTCAAAAATGAGTGTTTCCTAATCTTAATTATGTATTTCTTTCTGTAGGTTAGAGAGAGATATAATAATCGATTATTAATATTCAAAGGAATGGGAGTGGGAGGCAAAGCTTATAATGCTCTACTCTCAATACTAATAGAGAAATCACATTGATAGCTCATTTTGGCAAAAATTTGACTTAAATCTTTTTTGGGGTTATTCATTTTCATACCTATACTAGTCCAAGATGCTGACATAGTAGAATTACAGAGAACATCTGGCTACATATCAGAAAACATTTGATGCTTACCTAAAATCAGTCTATGCTAGCTGCTGTTACATAGTATTTATTTTAGTTTGACCTAGCCTTTGTCCTTTAAGGACCAACATTTCAGTTAGTTTGTGGGCTAACTTCATCCAGTCCAGAGGATAAATACTAGTTTCACTCTTGTAAAACTGCAATAGAACTGTTCTTAGAGCTAATATTTCTGAAAGATTTCAAGATGAAAAAGCTGATAACTTCCATGATCTGCTACACTATTACTTCTTTCAGTTTGTATTCCTTTTCCATACTGGTAGAAAAAGACTGCGGTACATTAATTTTTATGACTTTAATAAGCTTATACTCTATTGCTATTGCAATTTTAAAATGAAATAAATCAGAACACTTCTTATCCTAATAACTGAACCACTTGCTTATTAGTTGTTACTGTTAGTTTTATAGTCATTGAGTGATTTGTTTTTTTAAATTCCCGTGCCACTGCCCTTTTTCTTCTATAAGACGTTTTTTCTTTTCTGTTCTTTTCAGGACATCAGTTTCACTGAATTCACTTGTTTATGTTTCTTAATTCATGGCACACCTCCATTATTGATTTTTTTTTCCCCCCTTTGGTACCAGGGATCAAACTCAGGACCTTGTGCGTGCAAGGCAGGCGGGGTGCCACTTAGCTAAGTCCCCGGCCCCATCATTGGTTCTTGAAAGATTGAAAGATTGTTCTTTAGGATTATGTGTGTGTGTTGTGTGTGTGTATGTGTGTTTCACTGGCTTTTCCCATCTCCGATTCCATTCTCCTTTTCACTTATGCGTTAAATACCTACTTTTGGATTTTTAACAAAAATACATTCTTTTAGTCTATCCTCTATATTACATTTTTTCAAGATTTTATGTATCTGTGTATATATACATTTTTATGTCTCATTCAGTTTATTCCATATTGCTATATACATACCCATTTATTTCTGACTGATATATATTCTATCATGTCCCATATTTTACCAACCCATTCCCTCAGTACTCTGCACTTAGATTGCTTCTGTCTCTGTTTTACTATCATAAGCAACATTATAAAGAATATAACCTTTCCTCAGAGGACTAGAAGAGTTTCTCTGGGGTATATGCCCAAGAATTGACTTGTGTTTCTGTGTATAAGCTTACCTAGGTTCTGCATACTACTCAAGAGAGGCCAGAGGTTACCCTCCCACTACCACTGCATGAAACTGTTTCACCATATCCACATCATCACTGGATATTATCTAGCTTTCTAATTTCTGCAAACCTGATGGTGTGCCCAAAGTGTTTTAATATGCATTTATCTGTTACAGTGGATTTGGCTGTCTTCATATATCTATTAATGATTGTGGTTTTTCCCTTTTTGGCATTATGTATTTGTATCCTTTTTCTGTTTATGGTCAGGGCTCTTTTTCCTAAGATTTGTAGACTCTTCTTGTATATTTTAGTGGGACTTTTGTCTGTTTTAGTCTTTTTTGTCTTTTTAAAAAGAAATCTTTTCCTACATTAGAATGCAAATATATCAAATATTTTTTTCTGTTCTGTAGTTTTACTCTTTTTTTTTTTTTTTTTTGGTACTGGGGATCAAACTTGGGACCTTGCACTTGCGAGGCAGGCGTCAGAACCACTGAGCTAAATCCCTGGCCCTAGTTTTACTCTTAATATCTATAGTTTTACCCTTTACTTGTATATATCTGGGTTATATTTTTCAAAATAGTAAGAAGTAGGGTTCCAAGCAAATTTTTCTCCATATATGTAGTTAGTTAATTTTCTCACTACCATTGTTAACCAGTATCTTTTCCTCTACTGATACCTGATGCCAGTTTTGTCCTACAGTATGTTCTTATGTATTCATGGACATTCCCGACCTGTGTTTCACTATGGATCTATTTATCTGATTCTACATAATTAACCCAGTTTTATGTGGCTTTATATTGTATCTTTTTTTTTTTCTTTTTGGTACCGGGGATCGAACTTGGGTCCTTGTGCTTGCGCAACAGGCGGCGAAACCACTGAGTTAAATCCCCAGCCCTTGTATCTTATTTTGATGTAGAAAATCATCCTCCTTTTTTGTTCTTCTTTTTCTAACTAGCCCTAGTTTCACATTTTTCTTCTCCTCAAAAGTCTTGCTGTACTGTATATTGCATTTAGTTATGTGTTTTAATTTTTCTAAGTCTAAAACATTCTCTACACACAGTGTTTTTGCCCCATGACATCTTCTTGTTAAAGAATGGGCAAATTGGTCTGTAGAATGAGTTTGCCTTTGATGGCTTTTTCACATGTAGCTTTTGTTCCTTTGTCCTTTGTGTTTCCTCAAAGCTGGAAATTTGATCAAAAAGCTTGATTCACTTCAGACTGCACATCATTGACAAGAATATCTCATAGTGATAGATATGCTATAGTTACATACATCGGATCAGTAGAACATGTTCTTTTATTTTTTAAGTGCTCTATCACGGAGGTACAGTTCCTAGCCCTTTACACTTTTTAAATTAATTTTATTGGTACATTTTAAGTATAGAATATAATGACATTCATCATTGGGAAATTTGTACCTTTACATAATATATCTTGGTTCTTATTTTTTCCCCCTTCCCCTGCCCCCCCTTCCACCTCTCCACCCCTCCCTATTTACAAAGACTTTGTTTCCATTTTTTCATTTTCTCATATTAATTCCATTCCCTTCTTTCCTTTCCCCAGCAGCCCCTCCCACTTCCCCTTCCCCCTTGGACCTTTTCTTCCTATTTCACATTATCTGTTATGCCTTTTGACCCTTATTTACACTTTGTTTCTCACACCAGAGAAACTATTCGGTATTTACATATGTGTGTCCTATTTATTTCACTTTAGAGTATCGCCTCAGTGTGCACCCATTTAGCAATAAATATCTCTAATTTCTCATTCTTTATGGCAGAGTAGTACTCCATTTTATTTAAAAAACACACACACATTTTCTTTATCCATTCTCTAGTTGATGGGCAGTTGGGCTGTTTCCAAGTTTGAGCTATTACAAACTGTGCTGCTATGAACATGGGTGCACATATATCACTGTGGTATGATTCTTTTAATTCTTTTGGGAAGATACCCAGTAGGGGAATAGCTGGGTCAAATGGGACCTCTTATCCTAGTTCTGTTGAGAAGTATGTCATGACAGTGAGATTGGTTACTTGGTTATGATTGCGATTGCCAGAGTTTCTCCATTATTGTTAACCCTGTGACTAACAAGAAATACCTGGGAGTGAAACTTTGACACCGTGTGAATATTCATTTCCTCATCAGCTTTTTATTCGTAACTACTAACACTTGTTGATGATCTTTATGTTTTTTATTTAAGAGTTGCAAAGTTGCTTTTGTTCCACCATTCCTTCTACATTTATTGGCTGAGGTTCTATGAAGGAGAAATTTCTCTCAATAACTATATCTACTTGGTAACCCTAAATATATTGCCTATTAGAAATCGGAGAATTGTGTTTCAGAGAACTGCTAATGGTCACTTCTAGGGGGTGGCAGATGAACTTTTACATGTGTTTTTTAAAGAGATTAGCTAATATCTTAGTTAGGATTTTGGTATGTATGTAAGTAAAATTTGCCTAATACTTGCTTATAGCCATGTTCATTAGTCATTATGATTATAGTTTACAAATTGGCAACTTTCCCTTTGCTATTTTTTAGAACAATTTTTTAAAAACTTGATAGAATTGAACTGTAAATCTGCCTTAGAATATGACTTTTTTTCTTCAGGGCACAGGGAACAGGAGTTATATACCATTTCACAGCTTTGTTTTGTTTTGTTTTTTGGTACCAGGGATCAAACTCGGGACCTTGCACTTGGGAGGCAGGCAGCAGAACCACTGAGCTAAATCCCCGGCCCCCACTTCACAGTTTTTAATGGGTGTAGTTTACTCATGCTTTTCTATTTCTTATATCAACCACCTGCCCCCAATAAACAACATTTAATATCTCTCATGTCTTGTGGTTTCTACCAGTGGGGAATTTAGTAGTGGCTTAGCTGAGTGGTTCTAGCTCAGGGTCTCTCATGGTATTACAGTCAAGATGTCAGCCAGAAAGAGCTATAGTCACCTGAAGGCTTGACAGAACTGGAGGTCTTGGTTCAAAGATGCCTCATTGCCATGGCTGGCAGGTTAGTGTTGGCCATTAGTATCAATTCCATGGCTGATTTCCTATCCATGTGGGCCATGCCATAGATCTGTTTTGTATCCTTGCTGCCTATTTTCTCAGAGTGAGCAATATGAGAAAGAAGTCCATTTAAAAGTTGATCCCTTTTATCACTTAATCTTGCAAGTGTCAAACCATCACTTCTACTACATTCTATTTATTGGAAGACAACCACTGAGTCCAGCACTCAGTCACAAAGAATTCTGGGTATTCCCCAAATCACCAAAATATTTTTACAAACTCATAGGTCTCTTCATGT